ATGAGGGGGTCCAGGGTCTAGGATTTAGTGTTTAGGCGGTTTAGGGTTTGGGGATGTTTGGGGCTTAGGCGTAGGGGGCGTTTCCCTCCCTATCCTCCGCCCCTCCCCTCACCTCCCCTCCTCCGTGAGGTGGGCTGGGATAAGGTTGGGCGGGTGGGGGTGAGGTGACGTGGGGTGGGCAAGCGTGTGGGGTGGGGTGGGCTGGGGTTGGGCGGGTGGCTGAGGTGAGGTGGGGTGGGCGGGTGGTTCAGTGTGGGAGGTCCGGGGCGGGCGCCGGATTTAAATTATTTAAACTATTTAATTCCCGGCCCCGACCCCCGGGAAAACCCAAACCGGGTTTATTTGGAAGCTGGCTCTTGTATTTATAAGGATTTAGCTAAGTATTTCCTCTATAAAATACAAAAGCCAGCTTCCAAATAAACCCGGTTTAAGCCGCTCTAGATAGGGAAAAGTGACTTAAATCCCTAATATATATATATATACACACAAGAGCCGGCTTCCAAATAAAACCTAATTATTTGGGTTTCCGGGTGGGGTCGGGCTGGGAATTTAAATAATTTGAATAATTGATATACTGTGGTTGACGGTCTTCGCACCTGTTCAGCTCCTATGGCAGAGCTGACTCCCTAAGCGTTGCTACACAAGCCAGTGAGCATCAGTGAGCACATGAGGCATGCCAGGTCCAGCTCTGCTTCGGCGGCCGTCGGGTGGTGAGATGCAGACTTCGAACTCCAACCCCTCAACCACTAGCAGACAAAGCAGAAAGCCAAAGGAAGTGCAAAATGCAATGTCCTGGGTGGAAGGACAAGAAAGCAGGAAGTAACAAAGACGCGGGGCTTCACAGACAACATGCGCAAAGGGCGGACACCGGACGGCCCGCAGAATACTGCTGGTATCCACCTACGAGTAAACAGTTTTGATCATCACCCCTACCAAAGTACCATGCCAGCAAAACGCTGCAACAAGCCCCCTGCGAGTCGGTCCCGACTCTACAGCTTCATCGATCCACTGGAAGACTGGCACAAAGAACTCGTAGACACCACGATGAGATCGGAGATCCAGGGCTGAGAAGAACTTGTAGAGATCGAAACGAAAGTATGCAGTCGAGCCATCTTTGCCCTGGAATGCGTTTGCCATGTCACTCGTGCAGTTTACAATGTGCGTGATGCCATTCTGACGCAAGATGTCTCTCTGGACGCTTGCTGTTTGGTTCCCAATGAAAACCTGAGCTCCTGTCGTCGGATGCTTCCACACAGCATCCAGATTATTGTATCCATGCAGCCTCGAGGACTCTGATGATGCAGCGCCAGACACCGGCAGGTTAAGGGCCGCGAAGAGTTTTCTTGCCTCCTCATCATAGTCTGGCCGCTTTGTCACGTCAGCAGGCATGCCACAATTTCGGCAGCCACTCTGATCTAACGACGCTTCCTCGCTTGAACTTACTAGTGCACTTCTTGAGCCGGATCTGCATCATTGTAAACCCATGGCCCGTGACGCAACCTTGATACTGCACTGCAGCATATTGTAGCATATGTTCCCGGCCCAAGCTTGCCGCACAAAATAAGTCGCTGGCCGGGCCAAAAGCTAGGCGAAGGAAGATCCTGTGAAAGGGCAAGTGAATGAAAGGGTGCTCTGCTGCACGGTTGCCAACAGTTGGGGTTGTAAAATAACACCGTATGAGAGTCCCTATCCTGGAATTGGGCTATCGTAGTCATTTCTAGTTATCGCGTTTTAACCAACCAAAACCACCAATCTTGATGTTAGTACAACTCTAGTACTGGAAATGCCTCGTTTGGGGTCATGGCTGGATTGTGCTTGGTTATAGTGCAACTCTAGTACTGGATATGCCTCTCTTTGGCTCCTGGCTGGATTGTGCTTGGTTGTAATACAATTTTAGTACTGGAAATGCCTCGTTTGGGGTCCTGGCTCGATTGTGCTGGGTTGCAGTACCACTTTAGTTCTATATCGTTGTTCCACCCAAAAATGATTGCAAAGCCACGCAGGGACAGGCCAAGACTAAACACTGAGGCGAGGGGTTATTATACAACCCCAGTTGCAAAGGCAAGCGGGCTTCCTTCCATGGTTCAGAATATCTCACCAGCATATCCCTACCGGACCTGGACCGAACAGTTCGTGAACACGGTTCAAGATGAAGTGTTTTGCATTCAGCATACCACGGCGTTCATGCCGTACATCAAACATCTGCTCCCCGTCAGCAAAGCACCGACGCAACCTAATGAGGTCATACGAAGTCCGATCTTGCGCTCCCATCACGCACCCCAGAAGGCTGTCTGTCAACCCACTCACTCACAGAACTCCAGGCTTGTAGTGGCAGTGACACAGGTGCGCCTTGAACCTTGTCAAATTTGGCCCTCTCACTTCATGTACCTGCACGTTTTTCGTCTTTTTTCGGCCGGAGAGTTTCCAGCCACTGACACTCACTGCTCCAGCTGGGCACATTTTGCTCATCTCAGCGACTGCTCCATCGAGCGCATCTGCAAGCGCAGGGTCGACGTTCTGCTTGCACTTGACAGCCGCCAGCATCACCTGACATGGCGCGTTCGCTGCACTTGCATGATCTGTCGGAGACCAGGCCTGGTGATGCGACTGCAGAGCAGCAATATAGTCTGCCTGGCAAGTCTGACTCTTGCAATAGGCTTCTAGGGGCATACCACCTTGCACGGTAGTGCATCGCTTTAGAATTCAGAAGCTGAGAAATGCTACTGTGGTGTCTTGCGTCTTGCGTGGCCTGTTGATTGCACGAAGTCACCAGGTCGCTTGCTCAAGCAAAACTGCCCGAAGCCGATCAAAAGAAGACCCTGAGCCGCCGCACGGCAAAGCCTGATCAAGTGTGTCCTAATACGGCCTTTCAAGTCCCACCCTGCGGCCCGACCTCACTTGCGAAGGGCGTTTTTGGGTCCTCAGTCGCAGTTCGAATCGCAGCCGGATGGGAATGCACATGTTGCTCGAGAAGCATCGAAAAGCCTCGCTCAAGCCAAGCATCGCTGACTGGCTTCACCCGCTGGCAAAGACAATACTCGGACCTTAGCTCGTCTTCGCACGGCCATGGTCAGAAAAACGCTAAGGCCACCCTACACTGCACGCAAACCACTTGGCATGGCGCATAAGTGAGATGATCTTGCCGGCGTGCTCCTCCTCAAATGAATGCTGCGTGATGCAGTAGAACATGCTGAGCCCGTGCAGGCTTACGATTGCCTTGGTGTTGACCCAGCGTGTCATCTGATTGATGTTCAGAGGCGTCATACTGGCCTCAAGCACTGCGTAGGTAGAAATGGCTGAAAGCGCCACGATTCTGACGGCCCTTAAATTGCCCGTGCTTCTTCAAGAGCTGCGAGCCAGTCTAGGAATGTAGAACCATGTAGAGCGCAAACCCGAAGCCGAAACGGCAACAAGCGAAACATCCACTTTCGTTCGCTGACGCGTAGGCCTAGATGTTCGGTAGCAGCATAGCCGGTGAATCCCCATCCAAGCCCCACGCCGACAGCTCTCCGATTTGGACCATGGCCTGTGAAAGGATGGACTGAGCTCTTGGAGAGTGCATAATGGCATAGCGGCATTGTGCATCCCACGTAGTGGGGCACACAGTGTCGATCACGGTGGTTGATATGAGCTGAGTGCAAACATCAGAACAGACAAGCGTAGCAACCGAAGATCCAGATGACAGAACTACGAGCTCAAAAGCTCGGAAAGCCAGGCTGCAGCAGGTAGGGCAACTAGCTAACTGCCACACAGATTGAAAGCAAGCAGACATGAACTCACATCATGCATGTGAAGTCTCGCATGTGGAAGGCAAACTGATTTGGCCCTCCGGGGCCACAAGCACGTTTGCCTTCAAACGGAAGGGCAACTTCATGTTCTCGGCAGGCCGCGCACACACACACACACTCACACACACACACACACAGCAGGGCCTTCTTGATCGTTGCGACAGCCTCTTTGACGTCGGCAACGAGCTTGGGGTCATCAAAAATTCCTCGGTCTCTGATGATGCATCCACTGACGGACTGACGCAGGGAACATGTCCAGCATTGTCCGGCTACTTCTTGCTGCTCTTGCTACTGTTGTAACTTGAAGCATGACTAGCAACACAGAATACGAGGTGATGGTTTTAAGCCGTTTCTTCCGCCTTCCAGTTTCTTTGGAAGCCTTGCTTACATCGCTCTGCTGCCTTATAACTTATCGAGTAAAACGGCTGTTGCTATTGTGCACCTGCAGTTGTGTGCTGCCTTCTCTGAAGGTTCACGACGTGGCACACCATTGTCGCATTGTCTTTTGTGCGTTGCTGTGCCGGAGGTACATCACGTACGGCTGCAAGTAGAAAGTTGATACTACCGTCAAACGAAAGATTGGGCGCCGCAGGCTAATCGCCTCCCACAGCACGCCCTGGAGCTTGATGGGCTATAGGCTTGCCAAACAGAACTGATTGTTGGCCAGCGGCCGCAAGGCACCTGACAGTGCCCACCACGCAGACGCAGCACCAGATGAAGGGTTGACTCCTCAGGAGCAATTGCAGATAAAACATGTCAACACTGAGTGAGAAACAGGCCTTCTGGATGTTATAATCTGACAAGGTTCGACCATCCTCGCGGCATTCGCCGGAGGGAAGGGGTTCCAAGCAGAAAAGGAATTTGGCTATGCACGATGGAAACTGCCAGAGTAGAGCGTTCCTCCAACTGCTTGCCTGCAAAGATCAACCGCTGCCTCGAACGATAAAGGCAAACCCACAAGCATGACCATTCTAGCGGCCACTGCTACAATCACGGCCACTGCCACTGAACAAAACCACAGGGAGAACGCTGCTGAAACTCACCTGCACAGCATGCATCAACCCGAGGAGCACAGAGCGCAAGTTGCTTGCTTTCTCGGACTCTTCAGGACTTCGTTCCCTGTTAGATTTACATAACCTGACAACTCACGGCGAGCCCAAATCAATCCCAAGCAATGAATGGTGCCCCAACCGTCCGACTACGGCAAGAGGTTGATCTACGACGTTGCTGCTGCTGCTGCTGCTACTACTACTACTACTACTACTCCTCCTCCTCCTCCTCCTGCTGCTGCTGCTGCTGCTGATGCTGCTGCTACGACTACTACTACTACTACTACTACTACAACCACCACCACCACGACTACTACT